CTGACAATGTGAAGAGATGGTGTTCTTTGAAGGATTAAACAGAAAGATCACGGAAAAGAAATGTCATTTTTCTTTTAAAATGGAGGACCTGCGTAGCAAAGCAAGAAAATTAGAAAATCTCTCTCTAAATAAAAACTTGTTACTTCATCTGTACCTACTAATACTTGTGCTTTTCCAGAAGATATCCAATATTTTCATGTGTGAAATTTGGGTAGGAAACAAACATTTCTACTGATATCTTCTTTGAAGGAAAAAGAAGGGAAAAAAGAGAAAGGAGTGGCATCAAATCAAGTTCTCTGCATTGTATAATTGCAGTATTCCTAAGCATGTAGAATTTGGTGTAAAACACACAGAAGCACATACAAAGATAGGTTAATAAAACCAGTATACTTCAGCTTTGCGGAGAAAGACCTGGGTGTCATGGTGGATGATAAGTTGACCATGAGGCAGCAGTGTGTCCTCGTGGCCAAGAAGGCCAATGGGATCCTGGGCTGCGTTAAGACTGGAACATCTGCCCTATGAGGAGAGGCTGAGGGGGCTGGGCCTGTTCAGCCTGGAGAAGAGAAGTCTGAGAGGGGATCTAATCAGTGTATATAAATACCTCAAGGGAGGGAATGCAGGGGACGGTGATGGTCTCTTTTCAGTGGTGGCCACTGATAGGACTAGAGGAAATGGCCGGAAACTGAAACACCAAAAATTTCATAGGAACTTAAGGAAAAATTTCTTGACAGTGAGGGTGACAGAGCGCTGGAACAGGCTGCCCAGAGAGGTTGTGGAGTCTCCTTCTCTGGAGATCTTCAAAACCCGCTTGGATGCAGTCCTGTGCCACGTGCTTTAGGTGTCCCTGCGTATGCAGGGGGGTTGGACAAGATGATCTCTAGAGGTCCCTTCCAACCCTAAGCATTCTATGATTCTATGATTTATTGCAGTTAGTATTTCTACAAAGCCACTTACTGGAGAGCAGCATACCATCACCTTACCTATCCCGATATTTTTACGGCCTTCATTATAGATTGGCCTGAATACTACCTATTTAACAAGAACAATATGATGAACATATAGGGATTCATTTCAAGCATTGCACCAGGGATTTATTACTGGGACTTCCCTAAAGCACCCCATCTTCATTGTCTTGATCCTTTAATATTATTTGCCTTTTCTTCTCCTAGCATTCTAACTTTTTCTCAATTCCCCTTTTACTTTCATCTTAGGATTGCTAATAGCCTAAGTCTCTAAAACTCTCCTTTCTGTGGATCTCAGAGGAAAAAAATCCTGTTTGGGGAAAGAAAGGCAGGAGAAGCAGGAAGCTGAATTTACTGTACATGAAAACGTGCTGCAATGACAATTCTCCTGTGTTACCCATTGGCAGACATCGTTCACATCTGGACAACCTACCTGCGGGCATCATTAGCACAAGATGTCAGCTATCAGCACAGCCAGAGAGAAGAAATTGAAGAAACAGGTGGAGATTCCCTGAAAACTCAAAGCTGAAGTATTTTCTCAAGTGGGCCTGTTAAAACCAGGAGAGAGCAAGTGAAAGAGATATCTGGAAAAAAAAAAAAAAGATGAAGAAGGGGTCTTAAAAGGGGGCACCTCTATAAGCATGGTACAACTCAGTTAAAAAATCTACAAAAAGCCACAGAGCCCAGGCTCCCACACAGGGCACATTTGATGATTGTGCAAACCCAAGAAGCTGTTAGGCAGCTCTGTGCTACAGGCTTTCCATCAGAATGCAGCTAACAATGTTTTTGCAATCAAGTACAATTAAATATTTTCAGTTTGTCTAATTTGTTTCCTTCCGCACCCTACAAGATAACTTTCCAAACGGCCATGAAGAAGTCAGCTCCTTTATATTTTAATGGACAAGGACATTTTCAATTATCTCAGCTTTTCAGCTTTTTCTTTTTATTTTTTTTTCCCAGCCCCAGTGGGATCAGAGCTTGGCAATGTTATAACACAAAAGGAAGGCATCATGAGGAGTGTTCCTGCGTCAGGTGTCACCAGTGTGGTGTTCCCAGAGAACAACAGGGACATTAGGTGCACATACCACCACTGTTAGGTGACTCTTGGGAAACAATCGAAGAGGTCAAAGCTAAATATTCAGATTTTATTTTTACATACTTTTTCAGCCATCCGCACAAGTAATCATCTAGAGCCAGCACATTATTAACAGAACAAAAAGAGGGAAACACCAGACTTTGGGCAGGAGGTGATCAGTGCTGCTTCTCTGGAAGATCTCTCCTTGGACACAGTGCTCCATGCTTGGCAGCAGGGTGCCTGATTGCTCTTGTGGGTATCTGTCCACAGCAGTACAAAATGAGCCCTTCAAAGCCATCAAGTCTTGTCCAAGTAGCAAATAGGGTGAAATCAGTAGGGATAGAAAGACCCTACTGCTTTCCATGCATGATATTTCAAATGAACAACCTGTGCTTCTGTATGAAGAGAGGAAGGTGCCTGCTAGACACTAAAATGTAGTGGAGAAGGGGAAAAAAATGACAAAGATGGAAGGGTTAGCAGTTGTGCAACATTTTTGCGCAGGCACGATGCATCCTTCCCTGTACTCAGATCCGGACAAGAAGTCCACTAACATCCTTAGGAAAAGCTTCTCTAAGGGAGCTCTGAATATGCTACCTTTGGAGCAGCCATCAAAACTGGACAAATCAAATGCTCAGGGAGACTCCTGTCAAACTAGTTTTAGATGGGATCACCACCTTACTGAAACTCTGTTACCAGACTAGAAATGTTGAATACATTTTTGTGCTGTCTTAGATGTAAAATATGAAACCAAGAATACGCTCATCTCCTTTGCTCCATTGAATAAGAAACTCTTAGCAAGTGTGCATACACAGTCAGTCATAATTGTAGTACTTTGGTATTTGGTCATGTGCTGTGTATTGGACATGGCTCAGACATTACACTGATACTTTAACAGCTCTTCAGAAGCTGCCACATCCATAAGACACACATCTTCATATCTGTGACTAAATCATAAAAGCAAAAAATAACAGTACACAGGACAACAGTAAGCTTAAGGAGTGCTTTTATTAAGATACTAAACGGAGCTACACAGACTCCAATATTCACAATAGCAGTTTCTGCTGAGCACGTGAGGCATCACATGCAATCTACTGCTTTGCAGTGAGGGCTGAGTGCTAGTGCTCAGCTGTTGTACATGACATAGGTCCACGGAAATCAACAGGCAAAGCTCTACTCCTGTCACTGACAGGAAGCTGAAGACTTAACTACTGCAAATCAGAAAAAAAAGTATTACAGTAGAATAGTTTATGCTGTCTTAGTAACTAACAGAAATTAGATTAAGCAGATAAAAAAGGATAAACATTCCTCAAACTACTACTCCACACTGATAAATCAGTACCTAAATACTATGGCTCCAAAGAGTAATCTTGAGCTCACGGTTATGGCTAATTTCCACTGAAATAATGCGCTTAAAGAAGGATGAGCTTGTTCACTGTAAATTGCTGAGCTATATTTGACCCTGGCATAGCATATTGGATGAGAGCATGTAGCTAGCAGTACCTACTGGCTGTGGTGACAAGTTACGATGCTGCTTTCCTCTCCATCTTCCAAAACACTCACTACAGCGGAGGCTTAGCGCAGCAGAGGGAAGAAGAACATCCAGAAAGGAGTCCTGCAGGAGCTGCTCAGTGTGGTAAAGATTGGTCTGATTGGTCTGAAGGGTCATGGCAGGTCTTTGGAGTGCCGTGGCTTAGGCTGAGCTCTGCAAGACCATGCACTGCCCTGCTTACTTATGCTGAGCATGAACTTTCTTTTCCTTTGCTGAGTAACAGTCCAGGCCTTTCCCTCTGAAATGTAAAGGAGCAGTTTCCATTGCTGTTAGGAACATATATTGCAGCTAAATTCTTATCAGCATTTCTGTTAATGAGTCACGGCACAGAGTGGCTTAGGCAGCAAGTCTAGGGGACAGCTGAAGTGTGAGCAGTTGAGCAGCAACAGAAAAAGAGGAAAAAAATGTAAAACTATATTTTTTTTCATAAAGGAAAAATTGCATCGCAGAAGTTGTAAGGTAAAGCAACCAGGAAAAGGGGACTATTGGAGGAAATTGCACAGCTTTTTGTTCCCCTTTATCCAGCTGAACAAACAGATTGTTGTTGTATCCAATGGAGCACGTAGACTGTACCCTTGCTCCTACACTAACAGCAGGATCTCACAGTCAGTCAAAATACAGCTCAAATCTGTATTTATTCTGTTACAATTGGCATCCCCTCATTTCAACAGGTAATACACTCTGTAGTCTTTCTGGCCTACTTCAACAAACCAAATAGTTACCAATAGTTATCTGAAAAAATATGGACTCCCAATAGCAGAAATAGCTTTTTTTAAAAAAAAAAAAAAAAAAAAAAAAACAACCTTCTCCACTAAGCTCTTATTGATTAGAAAGTTTACAATCAAATCTCAAAACTCATGCTGAGGAACACTTGGGGCCTCAGATTCACATTGTCTGCTCTTTATTTGCTAACAAGTCTATTACTTGTTCTGCAGCTTCCGTATACTTAAGGCTTTGTGTCGCTAGGACTTCAGCATCACTGCAGCTCAGAGCTTCAACCTCACCCTAAGCAAACAGGCAAGTTGCAAATTAAAAAGGAGCTTTCTCCAAGACTTTGTCTATTTACTTCCTGGAATATTTATATAAAAATCAAGCTTTTCAATAGTCATACACACTACGAATCCAAGAAGGGCACATTGCAACATAACATAGTGGGAGAGCCTGACAGTGGAGCATGAATAGAGAGCCATGAAGCCTCTTCTTGTTCTTTGTTTTTTGGGTTTTTTTTTTCCCATGGAAAAACTGCCAAACAAGTTCACTTCAATCTAGAGGGGCAGTCACAAATATTTCTTAGGACACTAGGAAAAAGCCAGACTGACCAAAAAAAAAAAAAGAGGAGATAGATAGACAATCCTTTAATACATAATATTAATTTGCAATAGTCAGTGTTGGAACCAGTGGTGACCATCGTCATGAAGAATAATAGAAGCCAAATGCTGAGTGGAGACAAGCTGCTGTTCTCTTTGGGAGGAGACATGATCCATCTAGAAAAAATAAAAGCAAAATAAATCATGACTTAGAAATGTAGTAACAGTTTTCAACTACCTTCCAAAGGAGAAAAATGTGTAGGGAATGTGTAGGAAAGAACCTCTGAGTTGTTCCAGAATGTAAAATGATCCATTAGCTGAGACTCTAGCATGCTGATATGTGTTATAAGCCTGACAATATTCTTTATGCTACAACCTCCCTGCACAACTCCAGAACTGCCATTAATTTCAAGTGATGCAATTGCTCCAGACCACCAAGAGGAGGAATTGAAAGAGCAGGATGATGAACAAAGGAAAGACTTTCTTCTGCCTGTGGCAAGGCTTTACAAATAGGTTTTAATTTAAGAGACCTAGATATGCCCTTTATGCCAAACTACAAATGCCTATTGGGACCCTTATTACCAGTGGGATCACACAGATGCTGAGACTGTAGCAGGAAGCCCCAAGTACCTTGTCTTTGTGATCCACACAAGCAGCCCTGCCTGATAACATGATAACCAAGTAAGTGAGCATACAGGAACAGAATGGGACCAGATGCACAGTGATCAATCTTGAGTTGTGAAACAACACCATGTATTATTTTTCAGCAAGTCAGATTTCCCACTTATCTCTCCTGCCTTAAAAGCACAAACACACAAACTGTGGTGAGCAGCTAGATGTACTCGTTTTCCGGCAAAAAATGCTCAATCCTATGGCATTCCAAAAAGTGTCCAATTCCAAAGTTTCAAGGGTAGAATTTTTTGTACGAGTCAACAAACCTCAGAGCTATATTTTCAGACTCTCTGCAGGTTCATGTACTGCTGATATATTATCAACATTTCCAGTTCTTATGTCTAACATGCCCCTTTTTTCTTTAAAAATATAAACCCAAGCTCTTGCAAAAAGGGGTAACTTCTGAAACTCTGAAGCAAAAAGGCTCTTGCTTATAAAGATAGTGGTAAAGTTTATCTACCTTCTATGATATAAAAGCCAATCCACGATATAAAAAGAAATGTGATATGATTTTTTGGAGATGGTTATAGGCACTCTCCAAAAGCAGCATATCGCTTACAAGCACTGAGACTAAAGCCATGAAGGAAGAGGAGGCTATCCTCCTCCTCCATAGCCTGCAGCATTCAAAAACAGCAAGAAGACTAGGAATTCTGTGTTTGCTTCTATGATCTTCCCTCTTAGTAAAAAGGATATAGATGTACAAATACACTTAACTGGAGAAAGTTCACCGGCAAGTATTTAACCAGTTGGGGAAGAGCTAAATAGTTAGAAGAGTAACTGATGATAATTCAGTACTTAGAATCATAGAATCACAGAATGCTTAAGGTTGGAAGGGACCTCTAGAAGTCATGTAGTCCATCACCCCTGCACACGCAGGGCCACCTAGAGCATGTGGCACAGGACTGCGTCCAAGTGGGTTTTGAAGATCTCCAGAGAAGGAGACTCCACAACCTCTCTGGGCAGCCTGTTCCAGTGCTCTGTCACCCTCACTGTCAAGAAATTTTTCCTTAATTTCCTGTGGAACTTTTGATGCTTCAGTTTCCGGCCATTTCCTCTAGTTCTGTCGGTGGCCACCACTGAAAAGAGACCATCACCGTCCTCTGCACTCCCTCCCTTGAGGTATTTACATACACTGATCAGATCCCCTCTCAGCCTTCTCTTCTCCAGGCTGCACAAGCCCAGCTCCCTCAGCCTCTCCTCATAGGGCAGATGTTCCAGGCCCCTGATCATCCTTGTAGCCCTGCACTGGACTCTCTCCAGCAGCTCCACATCCCTCTTGTACTGTGGAGCCCAGAACTGGACACAGTACTCCAGATGCGGCCTCACCAGGGCTGAGTAGAGGGGCAGGATCACCTCCCTCGACCTGCTAGAGATGCTCTTCTTAATGCAGCCCAGGATTCCATTGGCCTTCTTGGCCACGAGGGCACACTGCTGCCTCATGGTCAACTTATCATCCACTATGACAGCCAGGTCTTTCTCTGCAGAGCTGCTCTCCAGAAGGTCGGTCCCCAGCCTGTACTGGTGTCTGGGGTTATTCCTCTCCAGGTGCAGGACCTTGCACTTGGCCTTGTTGAATTGCATGAGGTTTTTCACTGCCCAGTTGTCCAGTCTGTCCAGGTCCCTCTGGATGGCAGCGCAGCCCTCTGGGGTATCAGCTTCTCCTCCCAGTTTGGTATCATCAGCAAACTTGCTGAGGGAGCACTCTGTGCCTTCATCCAGGTCATTGATGAATAAATTGAACAGGACTGGACCAAGGACTGACCCCTGGGGAACACTGCTAGCTACAGGCCTCCAACTAGACTGCACCGCTGATCACCACCCTCTGAGCTCTGCCATCCAGCCAGTTCCTAATCCACCTCACTGTCTACTCATCTATCCCACACTTTCAGAGCTTGACCAGGAGGATGTTGTGAGGAACAGTGTCAAAAGCGTTGGTGAAGTCAAGATAGACGACATCCACTGCTCTCCCCTCATCTATCCATCCATCCATCCATGGTCATTCCATCATAGAAGGCTATCGGGTTAGTCAAGCATGATTTCCCCTTGGTGAATCCATGCTGAGATACTTACATCTGATAACTTGAAAACAGCTAATCATAGAACACTTGGTAGCTGAAATTGTCAGACTTGATTCTGAAATTGTATCTTCCTGTCTTTTGCTGGTACCGGCAAATGAAAAGACCTGCAACTCCCAGCACAAAAACAAACGCAGCAATGACAATAAGGATGATGTATCCAACTGCTAGTCCGGCCTTCTCCTCTCTCTTTGAATCAGATGCTGAAAAAGAAGAGGTGAAAGACAAAAGCTTTGAAATTCATAAATCTATTCCTGGGATAAGGTGTCAGCCAAGTCATACACCTTGCCTACGAATTGGCCAGCACACTTGTCAAATCACAGAGCTGTGATATGCCATTGATTTGCCCTTTTTGTGAGGGTGCTTCACATGGAAATATTTATGATTCACAGTCCAAGACTGCTCTTTATACAGAAGTATAGAATCCCTGTAAGTGATCTGTGTTTGGACTTTCCCTGTAAAATTTGCTGCTACAATAAGAATTAAATGCAACTTTTTGAAATGCTGCCATATTTTCAGATCAACACAGATTTATAGAGGTGGAGCATTCTCCCTTCTTAATCCTGCTCCCATTCATCCATGATTATTAAAAACACTTGATGTGCTTTCATCTCATAAGTAATGCTTCTTTAAACACAAGGCATTTAGGGAGAGATTCAGCTCACAGATCAACACACTCACATTCAGGAGGTCTACGTGGGGGTCTCTCTGTACGTGCTGGATGTCTAAACTCCCATTCTAGTCAGTAGAGATGCAGCCGGTGCAGTCAGTGGAGCCAGGTAAGTGATTTACACTGAAATAGTCACCAAGGCTCAACTTTGTAGCCTAAGCACCTAGTGCCACCTGAAAGGCCAAAGGAGCTACAAATTTTGCATAGGACGGGCGGACACAGCATAGGATCTACAGGAGATCTGTGCTTTTCTGGAATAGCAAACAAATACTGAGGGAAAGGACACAATAGATCATCTAAAGAAGTCTGTGTTTGGGATACACAGGAAAGTCCTTGATTGCCAGATCTCTCCCTAGGCCCCACTGACAACCAACAAATCAAATTCCCTTAGCGCCAAATATAGACACTGCCATGCAAGTGTCAAAATCTGCAGGCAGAACCCCCCCACCCTCTTAACTTTATGCATCTTTAGCATCTGTACATGTACTCTTGCACACTGACAATTTATTCTTGTTAATGTACACAGAGAAACATGTATTTGACTGTAAACATTCTCAGGACAGCACTTATTTAACCTGGCATTTATGCAACACCTGAGGTACGCAGAAGACAAGTGGCAATGTACACAAGCCTGAAATTAGAGACAAAATCTTTGGTCAAACAAACAGCACTGTCAGGAGGGGTACAAAATCCTGGATATTACTCTAAGGCAAGTCAAGGCAGATTCACATATTATTTTTACAACTTGCTTCTGAATTTCAGCTTCAAACCAAGGAATGAAAAAGAAGATGCACAATGCAAATGGCAACCTGCAGTAAAGCTAAAGCCAATATAGACAGGGAAGCACATTTATCAGTGGGCTTTGTTATAGCTTTTTTTTTTTCCATATTCCACTGCAGCAGCTTCCCCGACATAATAATTCACATCATCCCCTTCAGCACAGAGGGGGATATTGCTGTCTAAGGCTAGCCTCATATTTAAAATGCAAAACTGGAAATATTAGACACCATTCTGCAGGGTCGCATAGCTACATGTTTGCCTAGGCATGGGTGTAGTACAGCCCAAATGCCAAGGCTCCACTCAGAGTTCCTTTTCTATGATGGAAGATCATAGAAATCAAATGATCATAGATCATGTCTTTCAATATTAGAAATACAGTAGGGTCTCTGATACAAATGTGAGCACTGATATGAGTGCTGTACAAACAAGGCTGTGTTAATTGCTAAGTTTAAAAGGAAAAAAAAATAATTCAGAAGTGAGCACCGAGAGCCTATTCTAACTGACTAATATTTGCATATCAAGGAAGAAAAATACAATATGCTAAGGAAGAACCTGTTTCAAGTTCCAAAAGAACATTGTGACCATCATAATAGGGGAGAAAAACACACACATAAAAAAAACTCATAAAATTCATTCATCACTAAATCCACAGTTAGAAAAGCATTAAGTGACTGGCAAAATAAGCAATCAGCAGG